CTTTGGTCATTTTTCACTTGTTTCTTCCGAATTTCATCTTTTTCATCAAAATGCAACCTAAACCAAAATATAAGAGTAATGAGTGCATTTTGGCATAATATAATCACATGAATGCAATAGTTAAGAGGGGAAAATATGGTATTTTACACTCTTATCACACCCCCCAACTTGCTTATTGCTAGTCCCTAGCAATTTAATGCAAAGTAAAGCAAATGAGTGATTGGTCCATGTTACAAGTGAAATTGTTAAGTTCTAATTCAATAGTAGTTCATTCTCTTTTCAAACTCAACACCACCAGAAATTAACAATGTTATGATCATCAAGATATCAAAAACACTTGCTAAATATGTAAGTGTGTGTCAAGTCATAGCCATCTTACCGCCAACCCTAACACATGCAACATCGAGTGTATCTCTAGCTAAAGGTCCAGCCCCATAACTCACGGATATTAAAGTGGTTAGTGCGGGATTTCTCTCTATGGAGCTGGGAAAGATGCACACTCAGAACATGGAGGCTTTAATAACTAGCAACAAGCAGACATTGATCACATGATAGGCATACTTTCAAATGAGAATCCATCAACTTCTTACCACAAACCGACTTGAGATCAAAATAGTCAATGCAAAGGGTGTGAAAGGGGTTAAGCTGGGTTATATGAAAAGTAGGATGAAAAGAATTTAAGGACTTCCAAGTATCTAGTTAGGCATCTCAACAAGTAATTCAACATAGCAATCCTTCACATCAACGCATTCCTTAACCTTTCAATTCCCAACAACAATCCACTCTTTTTTTTTCTTTTTTTTTTTCAATTTTTTTTTTCTTTCAATTTTTTTTTTCATTACCCGAGCACTTATCATCTCTTATCACTTTTCTCATTACTTTTCTTCTCAAATGGACATTTAACACCTACTATACACTTGGAAGCATAAAGGTGGAAAAATGACTATTTATAGACTTTAATCCAGTGTAAGGAGGTATGGATAACTTAGATACATGAAAAGAAATGGTTATGTATGTGTATTGGCTCAAAGTGGCTACTAGGGGATTATAATTATGGAAAAGAACTAGTCTGAAGGCTCAAATTCAATCCTAAATTGACTATTATCATTTCTCAAGTACAAACCACCGTCTTACCACATACCGTGTAATGTCATTCTCAGAAGAAGTTTCCAATTCACACAATCAATGAACACTTATTACATTTTTAATATGTGATAACTCTCAATCCTCACTAATTCTCTCTAAAGAAGGCTCTAGCAGGAGATTCCTCTAGCTACATGTGTTAAACCACTATCTTACCACAAGGCTTGTGTGCACAAAGTGAAATATAGCAAGTGTCCTGATATTCAGATTCTCATAAACACAACCAACTCCTAGTGGCATATTTTGTCACTCAAGCACATAGGCATAGACATGCAGCAACTCAGAAGTCCAGGCAAAAATGTAAACTTTTTCACAATTCCATGATCACACAATTTATCATGCAATGCAATTCACAAACAAAATGTATCCTCCCCCCAACTAAAAGTTACATTGTCCTTAATGCATAAACATGTCTCCAAAAATAAAGAAGGGGAAAGGTATCACCTGAGTGCTGCAGTGAATTAACTTAAGTTCGAAGGATGAGAAGCCTGAAAGAACTCAATGGATGGATAATGCAAGGAGTAAAAAATAAACCAATAAAAAAAATGAATGTAAATCATACTAAAAAGAAAAATCTAAAACTAATATACAGAAAAATAAAGTGAAGGATGAACCTGAGTGAAGCTAAGGGTGGTAAACAGGGTCTGCAAGGGAAATATCTTCCACTGCAGGCACCGATTGCCCAAAAGCTATTTTGAGACGCTGTCCATTCACTTTGACCACTCTACCATCATTAGGATCCTCAATTTCAACTGCTCCATTTTCAAAGACTTGTAGTACCACAAAGGGACCAGTCCACCTAGAACGAAGTTTTCCAGGATGCTTGTGGAGTCTAGAATCATACAGGTATACTTTTTGATTTGGTTCAAAAGTTTTTCTCAAAATATTTTTATCATGAAAAGCTTTCATTTTTTTCCTTATAGATTCTAGAACTCTCATAGGCCTAATTTCTCAACTCCTCTAACTCAGCCAACTGAAATTTCCTAAGCTTACCTCCCTCCTCTAGGTCGAAATTAAAATGTTTAATAGCCCAATATGCTCAGTGTTCAAGCTCCACAGGTAAATGGCAAGGCTTTCCAAAAATAAGTCTATACGGTGACATGCTTAGGGAAGTCTTAAAAGCAGTACGGTAAGCCCAAAGTGCATCACTTAATCTTAAAGACCAATCTTTACGATTAGGATTCACCATTTTTTCCAAAATTTGTTTAATTTCCCTATTAGCCAATTCTACCTGTCCACTAGTTTGGGGGTGGTAAGCAGTAGAGATTTTATGAATAACTCCATATTTTTTCATTAGTGCTTCGAATGAACGGTTGCAAAAGTGTGTGCCTCTGTCACTAATAATGACACGTGGTGTACCAAACCTGGACAAGACATTTTCTTTGAGGAATTTAATAACCGTTTTATTGTCATTAGCTCTACAAGCAATCGCCTCTACCCATTTAGACACATAATCCACCGCCACAATAATGTATAGATAACCAAAAGAAGGTGGAAAGGGGCCCATAAAGTCAATCCCCCAACAATCAAACACTTCTATCACTAAAATGGGGTTTAAAGGCATCATATTACGTCGAGACACGGCACCTAATTTTTGACATCTTTCACAGGTTCTACAATAGGTATTAGTGTCTTTGAACAAGGTAGGCCAATAAAAACCACATTGTAGAATTTTTGCAGCAGTCTTTTTTATAGAGAAGTGGCCACCACATGCTTGAGTATGACAGAAACTAAGTATGCTAGGTATTTCTTCATTGGGGACACAACGTCTTAATATTTGGTCGGGGCAGTACTTAAACAAACATGGGTCATCCCAATAAAAATTACGTACCTGAACCAAAAACTTCCTCTTATCCTTTGTACTCCACTCCTTTAGGATTTCACCTGCAGCCAAGTAGTTCACAATGTGAGCAAACCATGGTAAAGAAGAAAGAGAAAATAAATTTTCATCCGGGAATTCATCTCTTATTAGCAAGATATTTGTAGTGTCTTCAAAGGTTAGCCTTGATAAGTAGTCTGCTACGACATTCTCCACTCCTTTCTTGTCCTTGATGGTGATGTCAAATTCCTGCAAAAGCAATATCCACCGTATTAATCGCGCCTTAGTATCCTTCTTTGCAAGAAGGTACTTAAGGGCTGCATGATCTGTGAAAATTGTAATGGGAGAACCTATTAAATAGGATCTAAACTTGTCGAGTGCAAAGACCAC